GTGTTGGGCTTACGTTTGCGCTTGGCTAAACAAAATGTCCGACAGATGTCCGTGTCATTCCATCTGCTGTTAATCCAAACAGCCGTTTTCTTTAAAAGACCAGTCAACAGAAACCTATAAACCCCCGTCTCCAGCGGGAGAGGAGAGAAGATAATTGTTTTTTTAGTGGCCACAGTTGTGCTGATGAGGTGAATTTGACATGGTACCTCTACGAAGTGAGAGAAGAGTAGATTGAGTGAATCTTTAACTAGATCAGAGATGACTTTTAGTGGGCAGTTTAACACTCTGCCAGATGGTGGTGCTCACGCTACACTTCTGATTAAACCGAGCTCATTTTAGACAGTTGCGTTGTTAGGTAAAGTAACAAGAAAATATGTAGTTGAATCCCATTCAAATATATCCAGGTGACATTTGACCTCGAAATCAATCTCAAAATAAAAGAAAGAGTTATACCACACATCCATGATTCTCAGCTTTTGAACATGCACTTTTTTATGTATTGCTTATTTTTAACAGCTTGTCATAGATACATAATTTATTGTATTTAATTATATTTACCTTAATTTTACATAAAATACAACAATCCTTCAGCAATTATTCTTTCTTCAGATGTTTCTTTTTAAATTATTTTTAAATAATTCACCTAAAAATTTAAATTGGACTTTAAATTCAATTCAAATCAATACAACACCATTATGTATGTTTAACATTTAATAAAGAGTTTCAGCAAAACGTCCATGCAGTTTCAAAACACTTTCCTAGTACTCTGATTGGTTCTGGTGAAAAACAACTCTATATTCATGCAACTGTAAAATAAAATCATGATAAACATCACTGCTCTCCTGTGCACCATCCTGCGCTAGTCCAGTAAATGGTGGAAATGCACCAAATGTTCTTTATCTGCTATTTAATAGCATTTGGCAAACTAATATAAATGTGCATTTTTGCCTTTTACAGTCTCCATTTGCTCTCTATTTAAGATAATTGCCGTCTGGGAGAAACAATTGAGATTATTATCAAATTGTCTAGCTTAAGAGTAGTTACTTTGGTGCTGTGTGTTCCTGTTTTGTGCTCTTATGTGTTTATGTACGGTGTGTTAAAGTTCTCCTGGGCAGTTCGAGGTTTACGAGTTGGAAAGTCGTAATTAAGACATCAAGTGGGCTCAAGTCACTATGGTTGCAACAAAATGGCGATGCATCTTTTTTCAACAAGCTTTTCAAACTCTGCATCAAAAAAATGACAAATAAAGAATGTGCATCCGTGTGCTTATGATGCAACTTAAAGACAATTGAATTCATTTCAACAAATTTACCGTCAATACAGACACTGCATCTCAAATCTCACTGACACACTCCCAACTAGGAAACTCTGGGCTTAAAGAAAGTTCTTAGTTTCCCACTCATAATTTTGACTTTGTGGTGGCGTTCTTTTTTTTTTTGTGACGTGACATGTGGCCAAGTAGACCCATACTCGGAATTAGTGCTCTGCATTTAACCCATCCAAAGTGCACACACACAGCAGTGAACACACACCCGGAGCAGTGGGCAGCCATTTATGCTGCAGCACCCGGGGAGCAGTTAGGGGTTCAGTGCCTTGCTCAAGGGCACCTCAGTCGTGGTATTGAAGGTGGGAGAGAGCGCTGTACATTCACTCCCCCCACCTACAATCCCTGCCGGTACAAGACTCGAACCCACAACCTTTGGGTTATGAGTCCGACTCTCTAACCATTAGGCCACGACTTGTGAGTCAACTCCTAAATACGATCTTTCTTACATGACTTGCACCAATATTTGTTGCAGGTATTTCAATGAATCTTGATTCTCAGTAATGTGTTCCCATGTTATCAAAGTGAATCCAGAGAAAAAGCATGGGAACACATGCACAACTAAAAGTGAGCCAGTCTCGCACATTTAGCTTCTGTGTTCTATGTACAGTCAAATGTACAGCCGCCTACTGTTCCACTCTTTTAAAAAAGAAAACAGGACTAAATCAAATGGTGACATGTGCGGAACTGCTTTACTGCAGCAAGCCTGAGGAGGAGAAATGCAGGGGTGATATTTCATTATCCTGTTACCCTCGGCACACTGATGTTGCCACATCTGCAACTGATATGGATGTTGCTTTTACAAAGGAATGAATGCTTTTAAAATGTCCCGACTGTGAAACTAAAGAAACCTACATTCACTTTACATATAAATCAAACCGCTTTAAAATATGAGGCGAGTAAATGATGAATTATATGGTCACAGAGTAAATATTTATTTATTTTCTGAACAAATTCATTTATTTCAATATTTTTGATGTTTTACATTATGTTTATTGACAGGGCTGTGCATTCTTTGGAATTGAATTGATAGTCTTTTACATTACAATTGAGTTCTTGAATTTGAACTGAAGTGAGAAACAAGATACAGAATTATAACTATAATCTAAAATATTTTATACAATTATTTAGCCGAGCAAATGTATGTTCATTGACATTTTGTGCACCATTCAGAATTTGATTAAAACTGAAGAATTCCTTTTAAAATTTCAATTCAATTCCAGAATATGCTATTCAAATTTGAATGTACAGAAATGTAAAACTGTCATTTGAAGGAAGTAGAAATTAAATTGAAGGAATTCTACGTAACTGCTGCAAGTTTTTTTTATTTTTTTTTATTAATTACCCATGAACACAACACAACACAACACAGACACACACACACACACACACACACACACACACACACACATAAAAAAAGTCAATTTCATAGATTCCGCCCGTAGAATTCCTTATTTAAATTACCATCATGGATGAACATTTCAATTTATACCAAAGACTTAACAATTAACCCAAATCAAAAGATATAGGCTTACAAATTATATAAAGAATAAAGAATATTCCTGAGAAATCTAACTGATAAAAAACATATATACATAAGAGGGAATAAGCAAAATTAATGAAAATCACAAAAATATATTTGATTTGCAGAACATACAGTAAATTCCTCTTTATGTAGTGTTGAAATAAATAGAAAGGGTATCAGTTCCTAAATTTGGACTTTGTATTTAGGTTTTGCTTAAATTAACTGAAACCACGTATTGCGCCCCCTTGTGGCAAACCGAAGCTCATATTGGCATAGTTAATTAAATACGCAGAATGTGTTTCATTATTAAAGCTTTGGACATTTATAAACAATGTTCTAAATGGATCATTTTTCCTCACTCTATCCTGGTAGCAGCAAGCTCATTTTTTAACTCCAAACAGGTTTGATTTTCTCACAGGCACACAGCCTAGACCCCTGGTGACCTGTTTATTTAGGTGTGTGCTGATTAGAAATTCTCATGCTGAGCTCCTTTCAGCACACGGTGTATGGAACATAACAACTCTGCAATGTTCTAATGCACTTCTCTCTCTCCCTCTATCTCCAACCTCAATTAATGGTGTAGTTAGAAAAGCACGTTTACCACCATGCCACCTTCATGAGCACAGGCTCTGCTGTAGCTAACACTAGCAGGCAACGGTTTCCATCCATCTGCTTATAGTATGTTCAAGACACACACTTTGATAACAGGGCATCCTGACTTTGAGCAATGAATTTACAACTTTTCCATGACATTTACATTTGTTTGTGAATGCTGATAACAATTTTTAGGTGGATTTCCATATGTATGCACAAATGTCTCAAGAAAAATACACATTGCAAGATGTGAAGGTGATTCAGGACATGAACTGGGTTTCAGGGCCTCCATGCTCCCTTCAGTTGTGAGGACAAGCTTCAAATCTCATTCTTGAGATATGGGACAAAACAATTTCCTTGTACGCTATTAATTTTAAATAGCAGCATTTCCCCTTTACACTGCAAAAAAAAAAAAAAAAGCTGCCAAACAAAAACCGTAAAATGACTAAAAGTTCAAAATCAACTTTACAGAAATTGTCATTAAAAGT